GCTGAGATTTCTACAAATAAATCTTAAATAAGCAGGTCAAATTGTCATCTGCCTCTCAGCCAACCACTTATGACCATTGGACCTCATTGGTTACTCTTGGAAGTTTTACCACCCTCTCCGAAAGTGACGCCAATGGGATTCAAAGAAAGAACCCCCGCCGGGGAGGAGCTATCAGTTAAATTACAGTATAAATCACACTGTTCTTAAGCATAGAGAGGAGTGACTAAACGCGGGCTTTCAACGCAGTCTCTTAACGCAGTCTCTCAAGTTTTTCTCAAGTCATTCCCCTGTGGTTAGAAGTTAACACTTACAGAACTTTGTACTGTCGGGATAAGAGCAGCCCAGAAGTTGTTGTGTAATTGATAGTTAATAAATCCAGTGTTTACTCTTACCTTACAAATACATTAAGTGCTGTGTATCTTTGTGATCACTAAGTGTCTTCACAGCCCCTGTACAGTGAGTCTAAGTCCAGGATCCCAACGGCCTTCCCCTTCGACCTGAGGCCCGTAAGCCCTGAGAAAGAATCTAGCTCTACCCGTCCTTACCCACTAATCCCACTGTCCAGGAGATTAGCGATTCACCCTCACCTTTCATCCATCCTAAAGCCTGTGAGAAACTACCTAGGAATCGGATCCGTGATCGCAGCAGGACTCCCGCATCATCAGTGACTGACATCAATAGTGGTGCAGGTCAAGTGATTAGTGAAAGGTAAGACAACTAACCTTGAACAGGCCCCAAGAAACAATTACGAAGCGGAGCCCGAGTAAGGGCGAGCAAAGGGACAGTTACACTGGGAAGCGATGTTTTCTACGCGATCCGTGTGACAGCTGCTTGAATCAACAACAGATGAGCTGTTGAAACGGTGTTTTTTGTGCCGTCCGTGCCGAGATGTTTTAAGCAGACAGTCATTGGAGATATTCAGTATCCCGTGTGGAGGAGGGGTCGAATACCTCTGTGGGATGTCGTATGAATGAAGAGACAACCACTAGTTGAACTGTCCTATAGGATTTATTGCAGCTGCACAGTATACACAGACGGATAACAATAGTGAACTGCTTGAACACTGAACTGGTATTGTAGAACGGTAGGACTAGATTGCCACTGTAACTCAGTGTATCTTCTTATGTAGCCTAGAGTCGGACATATAGAAAACGGTTACGTAATAGGTACTGCTGTTGCCAGATACCGTGTTTACAAGTTCCCTAGCAACCGCTGTTTACTTGCTTTTGCCTAGCAACCGTTGTTTACTCGTTGTTGCTAAGCAATGACGCTTGCGTTGTCACACTTGCTTGAATGTGGGCAGTTCCCACATCACCCCCCCGCGGAGATGGTTACTCAGCTGTTGAAGCGATCAGGAAAACGTACATGACGTCCGGAGCGTGTAGTTCGTTGTACAGGCTGTGGTGGTACGGCATCCGGAACCACGGTTGGGGTTTCGTTGGCTGCGGGGGTGAAGGTCTTGGTTGTGGTTCCACGGCCTCCAGCTAAGAGCTCCAGACTTGTACCACCCACCGCTGAAGTTACTCCTCAAGTGAATGGCTCTTCAGATTTCTCAAAACTGAACGGAAAATCTTATTTTGATTCTGGAAATTCTGGTTGTTTCGGGATAGAACAGCCAGTTACAGATATTTCAGAGGAGACTTTTAAATCGTGGTCTGTTCTTCCAATGAATAAAACTTCCAGTATAGCAGTTAGTAATGCCGGATGTGGTGGAGCCCAGAGCACAGGTCCCTCATCACGAACTACAACCCAACTAATTACTTCAGAACCTTCTGGCAAAAGTCATGATTCCTCACTTAATGGACTTTGGAATGTGAGGCACTTTATCCATACCTCAAAATCGCAGTCTAGTGAAAGATTGGAATCCACATCTGGTGAGAAATGTGTGTCAGAGGACAAAAAGAAGGAACTTTCAATATCACGTCGGGGTCACCAATGTGGGATGTCGTATGAATGAAGAGACAACCACTAGTTGAACTGTCCTGTAGGATTTATTGCAGCTGCACAGTATACACAGACGGATAACAATAGTGAACTGCTTGAACACTGAACTGGTATTGTAGAACGGTAGGACTAGATTGCCACTGTAACTCAGTGTATCTTCTTATGTAGCCTAGAGTCGGACATATAGAAAACGGTTACGTAATAGGTACTGCTGTTGCCAGATACCGTGTTTACAAGTTCCCTAGCAACCGCTGTTTACTTGCTTTTGCCTTGCAACCGTTGTTTACTCGTTGTTGCTAAGCAATGACGCTTGCGTTGTCACACTTGCTTGAATGTGGGCAGTTCCCACACCTCCAACGTAGCCCTGCGAGTCGTAGGAGTCGACGAAAAGGGAAGTCGCGGATCTGAGACAGTAAAATATGGTCACGAATACCACGGGACTCGGACTCGAGAATGACTGCCTGGCGAGGACCAGCAGTAATTGTAAACGACAGACCCTTCCTCTCGCCAGAGAAAGCGCCCCACATCAACAAGCCCTCAACTGTTTGACAGTAAGCACCAGATGGAGAGTTTATTTCGAGACAGACTGGCCGACTGACCTTCGGTCGTAACATAAGACTTAGGCTCTTTCCAGCTGAGTTAAGTGAGAAGTTTAGTTAGTTGTGAGACATACGCTAGCCAGTAAGGACGTGAATACAGATATTGGGGAAGCTAGGGCGTTGGAAATCGTTACCAGGCGGCAACCGGTGAAGATAGAGCAGACTGAGAACAATTAATGCGTGCCGTAGTAAATTTTAGAGTGTGTGAATTAGCGATAGCTCTATAGTTACTTGTAGTTACGATTAATAAGTGTTCAATAAATGTAATTACCAATCCAAATCCCGTCTATAGCCACTCTAACATGTGACAAGGTTTACAAGAGGGCGTCGTTGGCCCTTAATTTGAGCCAGATGAATCCAGTCCGCAACCTCACACCCTGCTTCTTCAGGATCCATTTTAATATTATTCCTCTGTCTATGTCTCGGTATTTCAAGTCGTCCCTTCTCTCGGGATGACAAGTTATATTCTCTTATCACCTCTCCTATGGGTGCTACATGTCTCGTTTATCTGGCACTCCTTCGTCTTTCAGCCATTATTATTTGGGGAAGAGTAAAACATAAGTTCTGTATTGGAGTCAGTGATAAATCGCAGGACCATATTGCAAAACTTTCTCACAGTTAAAGTGTCTGTCACTGCATGCCAGGCGTATTCATTTTTAAATGCCGCTACTGAACTATAGGCCCCAGATGGAAGACTTACTCCTAGCAAAATTATTTGCCAGTTACTTATGGATGATGGTTTTATTTTAAAAAGTGTTCAACCCGTGCTTTATCTGCAGGAATAAGGAGTTTACCCTTTCCCATTATATTTAGACTGGTCCTGGGGCCCACACAGTCTCCCAACCAATATACTTATTCCAGACGATTTCCAAGGAAAGAGCGGCCTGAGCGTGTAACTTTCCATTCACGGCTGTCTGAAAGCAAAGTTAATACACAGAGTTTTCGAGTAATATCTCACATAGAACTTCATGGCATAGTTATTAATTCGACCGGAAAATTTTAAATTATTCATTTTTATCTCTGTGCTCTACTTTGATGATACACCGAGTTTACTGCCTTTAGTGGTAGGAAGAGGGGGGGGGGTGCGTGATGCGCGGAGGCAAGGGGTCTATGGAGCTCTTCGTCTGCTGCGTGGGTAGTTTGTTGCCTAAGTTTTGATGTCTCCTGTCAAGTAGACAGGTGGAAGCTTCCCATTGGTTCGTTTTAGCGGGACTGCACATCTGTTATTGGTCAGTTCAAGTTCTTATATTATATACTTTGCAGAGTTCACTAATTCATTTGTGGATGGGCCCTTCGTATAAATACAGGAGGCGAATATAACGTTCCATCTAGATAGGTGTGAGGTAGTGGTAAGGCAGTTTGTGCTAACAGTTCTCTTGTATCTGAGCAGAATGTTAAAATCGGAAGACAAAGCATTTTGTTTTGCACGAAATTCCAATATTGTGTCACCTGAAATTAGTATTGTTAAGTTAATAAAATTTACAAGTAATATGTTTTTGGACATTATTCATCGTCTTGTCTATTTAAAAAAAAGTCCCGTTTCTTTTAAAAACACAACGTTTCGGAGACTGGATTCTGTCCCCATCCTCAGGCAAAACCTATTCAGTTGGGTTCAATATTGGATCCAACTGACTAGGTTTTACCTGAGGACAGGGGCAGAATCCAGTCTCCGAAACGCTGTGTTTTTAAAAGAAACGGGACGGTTTTTTAAAAATAGACAAGACGATGAATAATGTCCAAAAACACAATACTTGTAGCAATTTACCATCGTCACAAACTTTAAAATTTTAATTAATAAAATTTAGTTTATTAATTATGGTTTTCACGTGTTAGTCACAAGCATTAATTGAATACGTAGCGTTATAAAATAATTAAATAATAAATGATCATATTTTACTTTTAAATATTATTAATATGTAGTACAATAATATACTGTGATTAACAATATTAATATTATTTGTTTATTTCAAAGATATTTATATTTTGTTAATATGGCACTGCAAAGAATTCAAATCACAAATATTATCCTGAAGGTATTCGCTTTTTAAAATTTCTCATTCACTTAAACTCACATGTACAATAACTGATTTGTGCATGGCTGTGCAAGAGAACATATGCATTTGTAATAACTTGATACTATTGTGTAGTTCTTAGGCTGCGTGATTTTACAACACAATCAGTAGCTAGCCTTTATAGTGTCACATGAAAATGTAAATGACTATTATGAATTAAGGAGGACTGGGAAATAAGTAGTCATGACTTAGTCGAGGCACTGCTAGGCATTTGTTTGAAGGGATTAAGGAAAATCTCGACAACACCAGTCAGAATTGCATTTGTTGCGGCCGAAATTGATACCGAGACGCTCTCGAATATAAGTGCAGAGTGTGATTAGTGTAGGAACCCGCTACGTGTGTGTGTGTGTGTGTGTGGACTTGGTGTTTTGTAGTGAAAATGGTGCTATTTTAAATCGGTTCAGATGCCACATCCCTTGAAGTTCCTCAACTGTCTGATAATACTTTAAAGTTTTTTATTATTTCTTTCTATCCTAATTCGTTACTCGGCGAAATTGAAATATTAACTCGACAGGTGTAGGGCATCTTTCCCTTTCTATCCTGCAGCACAGCACCTGGTTCATGTGTCACCCTAATAAGTTTATCTGTCACATGATGGATACTTCTAGTACAATAAAGTTTATTCTGTTTCTTCAGCAACAAGGTTAGTTGTGTCTGTAGTAAGGATGACACCACCTGTCACTCAGAATTTAATTTCGATTTCCGAATTAACTTTCTCCATTAAGTTCCATACTGTTTGTTTTCTGTTTATGACATATCTGTACTGCTGGCTGTAATGTAGTAATTTCTTCCTATATTTCATACAGTTATGAGATACTACCGTGTTAAGGTCAGTTAAGCTTGTGAAGTGACGTCGTGTAGTAAGTGTAGGACTGCATCATGAAGAATGACTTGCTGTATATCCTTACGTTTCGGAAATGTTATTAATTATCCTTATTGACCTGAGAGGCCTAATACACTAGGCAGAGAAATAAAAAAATACGAATTCTAAATTAATTCTGAAGCTCTGATGATAAAACTGGGCAACACAATTTTCCATCACGACACAGTCTACACAGATAATAATAATAAGTATTGGCTCCAAGTATAAATAAAGAACAGCTTGTGCATAGCCAGGTGGGAAATTCAACTGCAGTTTGTAGTGACTTAACTCTAATTGGTTTATTTTTTGTTATACAAGCTGTGTTCTTAGACGATTTCAGAGTGAGTAAGATTGAAGGATGGATAGACAGTGATTGCAACAGCATTTTGAAGGAGAAGGCGGGAGGCGCACTGTAATTATAGTGCTGTTGTAACCCGCACACACACTTCAATTGTTATCTTAGTGGACTCGACGAAATCCACTGTACATTTTGTTGAGAACAGCCAGGTCTAAGAACACGAACAGCAATTTCTCTATTAGAAGCTTGTTTTTCAATTGTTTTTGCTACGTATCTGCTGTTGATGCCGACCACAGTGGTCCTGCGGTCTAAGATATGAACTGTCTTCGTTCGCTCGGAAGCTGGGATCGTGGGCTCGAATCCCACTTGAGTCATGGATGTCTGTGCGCGTTTATTCTGGGTTTGTGCTGTGCTGTATGCAAGTAGCTGCCTTGCGTCGGGCTGATTTCCAGTCCAAGGTATCCTACCGACTGTGTATAAGATCAGGAAACTGAAAAAGAGGCAAGAGTCCAACAGAGAGCTGTAGAGCCATAGATAGACAGATCTCATGTTGACAAGTTAAACGACGACATACCCACAAGCTTTTAGTTTTCTGTTGCACATCCATCATATTGGAACTACGTTCAGAACAAAAGTAATTACCAAAGATCGCTCTAGGCTTGTATTTGGTAGGAGTTTTGCCTGACTTTGGGACGGAACACAGTCAATTATGAGTATTTTCGCCGCTTTCCTGATTCCCTACAGGCAGATGTCGGGCTAATATGTAGATTAGGGCACGCCCGCTTCCTTCTAACTTGTTTCGAATTCATCATCCAGCTACCATCGTAACATATGACGATATGCAGTCTCTATACTGAAAGAGACTGTCTTTAAATAAGCCAGGAAGAAAAACTTTATTCATTGTTCCCATAATACAATAACATACACCACATGCCGTTTGCCTAATTGTGTAGGATGAATTGTTTATAAACAGTTTATAAAATGAGATAAGTTCGGATTAATTTTTCTCTTTGTATCGACAGTGAATAAGGATTAGATAAGGTTTAGCTAAACTACTTTAATGGAAGTCAGTTAAGTAATTCAGGATATGAAAGACGGTTGTTAACTCCCAATTGCAATTTCATTTTAAGGACATTATGAGTCTTAAAATTTCTTTAGTTGTTGCAGGGAAGATAACATCCTCCACCTTGTCTGTGTAGTATTTACCTCTCTTCAGAATTGCTGAAAGACGGCTGAAGAGGACTCAGTATGTGGGCACACTTAACGATACTTATGATGGCACTTATGGCGTTGGCCTCGGGTCCACCTGGCGTTCAGTGCTCCAAGGATGGGTACAACATTTATAAAGGTTCGTAGTAAATAGCAACCCTTAATAATGGAACATGTAATTTAACTCAGAGAATGAAGCTGAGAAAGAGCGTCCTTTTGTTAGAAAGTTCCAGGCTTCGTCCGCTCGTTCTTCTGATAGCAGTAGATCGAAACTGAAGGCTTTTTCTAATTGCTAGTGGGGTGGGGCTAAGTCCCTTGTACTGCGGCCACTTCTGGCCTATTGTACCAGCCCCAGCTGATAGGTGAGGGTGATTGTGGAGCAATTGGTGGAATGAAGATTGGCACGGGAAACCGAAGTACTCGGAGAAAACCTGCCCCAGCGCCACTTTGTCCACCACAAATCCCACTTGACCAGACCCGGGGTCGAACTCTCGCCGCCGCGGTGGGAAGCCAGCGACTAACCGCTTGAGCTATGGTGCGGCCAACTGAAGACGTTAGGATAGTTAGAAACAGTGGCTCGAAAGTTAATATCGCTGCATAATTTGGAAACAAAAAAATAGTGGCTTTAACATTAATATGGTTTAATTTTGATGAATTTAAGTAGGGAGGGCTGCATGGCGGGCACCCAGCAGTAGCTTGGAAGGTGAGAGCTATTTCAGCAGTTGATAAAGCCAGAGCAGAACCAAGAAAACCTGTGTCGAAATGGCCGGTCCCAGAAACTTCCGAATACGCACTGACTTCTCGCCAGCTGTGTAGCAAACAAACGAGTATGGGAGATTCCCTAATGTCCATGCGAAACCACAAACACTCTCTACAGGCAGGATGCGGAATTTTGTTAATACTGCAACCAGCTTGACGTAACTCGTAATGAGTACATTAAAAAAATGACATATTCATACTTACATATACACAGCGGAGTGCATGATGACCAAGAGTAAGCACAGATTGTGTGGTTAGAATAGAAAAACTCAAGTCTTAATTGAGTTAAATTCAAATTTACATGTTCTCGCACCCGTGAACAGCATATTGCTATGGTCCCGCCCTAAAACATGTTATAATATTGTGATTTCTATCAAATTATCAAAATATCTTTTAATTTATATTACATACTGCTTAATCTAGTCTTCTTTATTCTTCCCTGCTTTATTTTCTGATTGATATTGGATATGTAGAGTTCCCAATATCCTTAAGACAACACTTATTAGTAATGTTTACTTTATTCTTACGTGTTGTTATTTTGTAATTAATTTTCTTTCAGACCTCATCCTGCGCGGTAAATTTGATGCGTTGGAAGGTGCAGATGAGCAATTAGATGCCGAAGAGGTTTCCAGCAGTCCAAAATTATGTAAGTAGGTTAATTACCTTTTTCTTTTCCTTGGCATTACAGCCCCAGTGGGCCTAGGCCTACCGCCATGAACTCTCCGTTCACTTCGATTTTCTAGATCTAACACATTCGGTAGGACTCCTTGGGCGAGTGATCAGCTCGTCGCAAGGCCTCTACCTGTACACAAACACAGAAAAACGCACACAAACATCCATGCCCTGAGTGGGATTCGAACCCACGATCCCGGCTTCCGAGCAAGCGAAGACAGTGCATGCCTTAGACCGCTCGGCTACCGTGACCGGCAGTTAATTACCTGGACTGTGCTATAGGATTCATAATACAATATATTACTGTTATCAAAAGGAACTCCTCACTTCATCTACATACCTTGAACCACTTACAGTGGATTTATCGTTATATGCAATTTAATATCATAATCTTCCACAAGTTTTCCAGTCGAATATCGCATATATTTCTTGGACACATCTGTACAGCCAACCATTTAATTTCTATTTATACCACTTCGTCACATTTTTCTAGCTGAAATCTTTGCTGATTTCGTGAGGTTATGCACTGACACTCTAACAGCAGGGGAAGAACATAGATTGAGGACGTTTGAGAATAAGATGCTGAGCAAAATACTTGGACTTTAGATGTAGGAAGTAAAGGACAGCTGGAGGATCCCATAATGAGAAGTTCCATAATTCATACGCCTGTCCAGATGATATTGTAATATCGAAATCAAAGGGAATGAGATGGATAGGACATGAAGAACGCGCTGGAGGGAAGAAAAATTCATAGTAATTTTAGTAGGATACTCTGAAGGAAATGGATAAATAGAAAGACATAGACGGAGATGGAGGATAGTATAAAAATTGGACTTAAAAAGAAGACGAGAGTGTGTGTGGCTGGATTGATGTGTTTCAGCATAAGGATTATTGGCGATTTCTTTTGATGGCGGCAATAAATCGCTGGCTTCTTCAAGAAGTAGGAGATTAATCAAGTGGTTGATCTGAAGAAATACTCCACGGAAGTAGTTAATTAAACATTCAGTCACCATTATTCACATTGTAGCACGTACAGCCCTTGCTATGCAATAAGAGAATAAACAACGGTGTTATCAACCAGTTTCTAGACAACGGTTCTATAAACACGTTCCCGCGGCAACTAATACGTACACAATAACAGAGTTAATTGTTCTAAACGGTGTTTTGTATGTGGTCCGTGAAGAGGATATATCGAATATTTCCAACCTAGCCCTGCGAGTCATAAGAAACGACGAAAAGGGAACCCAGTTCCTGAGGGTATAACCGGGCCACCCTGTTCCTGCGGGATATAAATACGGGATCTTTGCCCTCCAGGTTGGGTAAGCCTCGAATCTGAGACATTAAAGGGTGGTCATCAGTTCCGCGGACTTGGACATGAGAATGACTGCGCAGGCGAGGAGCAGCAGCAATTGTAAACGACAGACCCATCCTCTCGTCAGAAAGGAACTTACATAAGGAAAATAACCGCAAGTGCACAGTTGGCAAAAGAAATTAGTGGGTGTGAGTTTCAAGGGGCTTGTCGCCAAGACGAACTGATTGGCGCTAAACCGTCTGTCGTATAGTAACTGACACTATTTGAGCCAGTTGAGCCTGCCAGGATAAGAGCTTGGGAGAGGAGGGGTTGAATTTAGGAACTGAGGCATCAAACTTACTGAATTCGGTTCAGTTGAGATTTGAAGGTCTGGCTGTGAAGAGAAGACTTTACATGTGTTGTAATACCGCGATTTCTGGTGATTCTGATTCAGTGAGACTGTTACAGTTCCTGTGTGTAACATTTGTAACCACAGTCCAGTGTGATTGTCAAAGGTTTTGTTTTTAATTCTTCGTCCTTTACATGTTTCGGTCGAAGATGGTCGTTTTGAACGAAACATATAAAGGATGAAAAATTAGTAACATAACCTTTGCCAGTCACACTGGACTGTGGTTACAAATCTTATGGGTATACAATTACCAGTGTGACGGACCAGTATGAACCAAGTAAAGTTTATAGTTCATGTTTTAAAATCCGTTGCTAGGAATCGGCTAGTGGGGACTGTAATAGGATGAGGACAGTAACTGAGATAACAGTGAATTGTAAATTGTGGAAATGAGCAGTTCCTCCCCTTTTTATCTCTTCACTACTTTCAAATATAAGGGGAGGACCGTACATTCGTCCCTGGGTGTCATGTTGTGTTCGAATGCTTCCCAAATGGATTGGGGTGTCCAAGCTAGGAGTGTTAGAGAAAGGCAAAGCTCCAACGCTATATATTTAATAAAGAATATATAAATAGTAATAAAATAATAATAAAAACTAAACATTAACATTCATAGATCCAATATTCAATTAAATAACAATAACCATACCAATAAAACTAAACCCTTGTATCGACATTCTCCAATTTCAATGGCTTATAAGAAAACTCCAACGAAATCCCACTCTTTCAAACAAAATAATAAGAGTCTCCCAGAACTGCTCTCATATACCAAAAGCCGTCACTTTCCTTCTCGACCGAGATAAGATTTCCAAACAGAATTTCCCCCGGCTTCTGAGCCCTACTGACTCTAATCCTCGATCTCAATACAACTTCCACCAAAACAGAACTCTATGTACATTATAGAACGCCGGTCACGGTAGCCGAGTGGTCTAAAGCATGTACTGTCTTCTCTCGCTCGGAATCCCACACAAGGCATCGATGTTTGATATGCGTATGTGTTTGTGTTGTCCTGAGTTTAGGTAGAGGCCTTGCAACCAGCTGATCACTCGTCGAAAGACTCCTACCGTCTGTAAAATAATCATGAAACCTAAAATCGAAGTCCAGGGCCCAAGGGGGCTGTAGAGCTAGTGGGAAAAAAAACAAACTAGAACAGATGGAGTGGGGTCACGTGGTATAACCGGAATAGTGGAATGGGTAGCTCGGTGGGATGAGGGTAGGGGTGGAAAGAGGACGCCCCCTCATCCAGCCGAGTTTAGAAATCAGCGATAGCGCTGTAACTGCCTGTAGTTCCGAGTGGTGTGCAGAAGGTGTCAATAAATCCGAACATCAGTCCGAGAGCCCGTCTATATTCACGCCCATACGAGTGGCAGTGTTAAAGACAAATATGTTGTGTTATTATGCCGAGAATTAGGTGGATGCTGAACAAACTGTGCCATTTTTAATTGCAACAGAAATTTATCATTGAGTTAGAGCACTGGAAAGAAGTTACTGTTGGAGCTTCTCGTGGAATCCTGGGACACCGAGAAGCACCGTTTGAAAAGGTTTTTCTAAAACATGCCCTAAGAAATTACATTTCAACTGCACCTAATTTGATGTTAAGTGTACACTGACCCTGCCAGGACTCCTTTTCAGCGTCGAGTAGCCAGAAAACGTACATACACGTACAAACTTACTCTCATATCGTTCCGTTTGACTTTATACAATCAAAAGAGTTGAATAATTGTGAACTAACCAAGAATCTTACATAAACCGACTTTTCCGTTCTATGTTTCTTACCATTTGGTTCATCCTGTACCTTTGTGTCTCCTGTTTTTAGTTTAAAATCTAAATATTTAAATATTAAATCTTCCCATGTATAGTATAAACAGGAAGTAATGTGATTAGTGGGGGGTGGGGTCCAACTAGGTCCGCTCGGCACGGCGGCCACTGATTGGCGTATTGTAGCCTGCCCCGGGAGATTATGATGATGGAGAATTTGGTGGAATGAAGATTGGCAAGGAAAACCGAAGTACTCAGGGAAAACCCGTCCCAGCGCCACTTTGTCCACCACGAATCCCACTTGACCAGGCCCGGGATTGAACCCGGGTCGCCGCGGTGGGAAGCCAGCGACTAACCGCTTGAGCTACGGCGCGACTGAGTAATCTGGTGGTGAGATGAAAGCTCAGAAACGTAAGTTCTACTCATTGGTTAGAGATTAATATTGAAATTTGTGATGAAAATTGGGGTGTGAAGGTTTGGATTGTATCCAGCTGGCTCAGTATAGTTCCTCTGATAGGGTTTTGTGAGCATAATAATGAAGCTGCAGATAGATAATTTCTTGAGCGGTTAAAAAATTTACTTCTTTAAGAAGGGCCCCGTGAAGTTCCTTAATAAAATCCGACCACTGAATTTGTCCCTATTGTGACCGAGTTGACGCTGATTATGATCCCAAATTTTATCATTTTATTTCGCCAAAATAATTGTTATTTAACATTTTTTTTTGTGAACCGGAATACTGGAGTTCTTATGGGAACTAGCTATGGGCTGGCCGAGGGATTGGAGTTCGAGTCCCCGTAGGGACAAGATTTTTTTTGTTCCAAGTCGTCCAGTCTGGTTCTGCGACCTGTCCAGGCTTACATAAAATGGGTACTGGGGGCCCCCCCATACGTCTTCATGGCTTAATGCTTAACTAGGCTCCCCCATACGTCTTCATGGCTTAATGCTTGACTAGTTAAGTAGAAAGACAAACTTACCTTTCTCTTGTCTACGAACTGTATTCTGATTACAGGTCTCTACACAGAAAAACGGGTATAAATAATTTAATTCTTTTTCGATATTTTGAATAAATTTCTTGTGTTCAATTCTGATATAATTTTTGATAATCTTTAGAGTAGGGGTAAAGATTCCTAGCTTCGGCCCCCTACCCCGCCAGGGCNAACAAGCAGTGTAACAGCTACGTGAGTGATACACACCTGATGATGGCCATTTAGGGCCGAAACATGTAGTGTGGAGGAGGAAAAGAAGTAAAAAACTACAATAAAATTTGTTGCACTTAAGACGGTATTTATCCATATATATTGAGATAAAGTAATTTATCGCCATTCTTTTCCCGAAAATATTTATTTTAATTTACCTGAAAACCAACTCGAAAAAAAAATGCACCTTGTTTCGAGCTAGGATAGAGAATCAGGAGAGAATTTAGTTCCTTCATGAACTCTAATGGCGCTCCCAATAGGAAATCAAATCATCTCACTGCACTAATTGGACCATCAACTGATAATTACATTAGGTGACGTCATGCTGAGTGACATACTCTACCGCACTGTTATGTTCTCTCATTTCGTAGAGCACTGTCCCAAATATCAAGGCCAGAGTAAGAGAAAATTATAACTTAATTATGGTTTTCCTATTTTACACAGAGGGTGTCCTAGGAGGAAAGGTCAACATTTTGTGAGGTCATCGTATCGGCCATTCTAAGCAAAAATTTGTGTAGGTACATGTGTCTTATTCCGAACGGTTTCAGAGGTACAGCTCTTCCACTGCACAGTACACTGTACAATGTACAGACGAGCAACACCACATGTCCTTTCACGAGTTGCAAAGTGCATTCATGTTGACGGTGGAATTTTCAAAAAATGTATTATACTATGTGAACTTTACCAACTTTATCACTTGAGCAAGTAATACTGGTACTACAAACAGTATATAATATACTGTTGGTATAGTAATTTCGGCAGCAAGAAGGCATAAACAAGGACAGCCCCCCATATTTCCTAAACCTCAAATCGCTATCTTCAAGATTATCTGTGCAGGCATGAAGGTAATAAACGTGGCTCCATTTCATCGTAACATCGAAGTATAATGCTTTATTTTCTTTCCAACTTCGATTACGACAACTAGAATCACGTTTACGAAATGGATGACGTTTCTGACGAGAAAACATAATTGACATCATATCCTGCATATTATATAATAATTTAGGCTCAGAGATTTTGAATATTCAGGTTTTTGTGTTTTGAACTGTGATCCCGTGTAGTCTTATAAGCGGATACCAATGTTTCGGAGGAAAAGTTTACATCTTTCTTCAGGATTTAAGAATGTAGAGTGAGTAATCCGTTGGGTGACATAGGCAGGCTGCAAATAAATTTGTCATTCGGGCCAAATTTCTCCCTTCAAAAGAAGGCGATAGGATCAACTGCCCACAGTCCTTCTGGCCCGGAACGGACTTTACCGAAGTATTGAGAGAAAATCCGTTCCAGTGCCGCTTTGTCCACACAAATCCCACATGACCTGAAACAAGAACGAGACCTCGGTCTCCGCGGTGGGAACCTGGCGGCCAACTAACTGCCTGTCCCAGTTAAACTGCTGCTGGTTCTCGCCAGCACAGTTATTCCTGGATTCAAATCTCCTCGATATCCATGAGCGAGATCTTTGACCCGTCCTAGACATGTACGTGCTTGAGATCTGGAGCCTCTTCTTCGACGAGAGAAGGATCGATCTTTCTGTGTATGCATTATGTTTGTGCACCGTAGTTTCAGCACGATTATATTCGTGGTGAAACTGCGCCCGGATATTCGTAACTATGGGCTCTGTGCACTCTTTGCCACTGCACTATGCTAAGTAACATTTATACGAGATAGGTTACATGTCATTGCACGGATGTGCATCAGGTTATACCTTGACTTATTTAACCAATACGAAACTGTAGTTTGTTAGCTGATTGCTCGTAGACCTGACGGCCGCCAAGTTTAAGCCTCTCATATTTCCGAATAATGGCGTCTTCTCGCCATATACCACGTACGGATTCACAGGGTTTAGGATTGCCATTGTCTGTGTCCTGCATTACGTAGTAGTACACGTAAGGAATTCTAAATGTGTGGAAACTATAGTTGACATGATCTGTATGCGTACGTATGCGTAAAATGAGGGAGTCAAATGTGATTCAGCGTTTATTTTGAAGTTCAATCTAACTTAAGGTTCGGCCACACAGAGCGCTACGTACGCGACGCACGCTACGTACACTATGTTCGCTATACGAACAGAAAAATATCTCCCTTTTTTGCCAATGTGACTGGACACACAGACGTCCGTACGCTACGTACGCTATGTTTTCTATGTTAGCTGCGTCGGAGAGTGTACACAGCGTACGTAGCGTACGTAGCGAACATAGCGTAGCGCTCTGTGTGGCCGAACCTTTACTGTTACTTATTGTTACAAAGTACTGAACAGGGCCTGTGTTATTCTTCCTGAACGCCGAGTGTTCTAAATTACAATTTTTTTTTACGTTATTGTGTTTCTACCATGAAGAATATTTCTTATAGCTTATACAGAAATGTAAGGCGAAAGATGAAGAAGACTGTCAGTACTAAACTGAGTTACGATATATGTTGGAGGGAGAAGAGAGAGGGGTCTTATTATTTTCAAACTATTCTATGTGATAATTATGTGTTTTCATTTTCAGACTTCTACCGAACTCCTTTGCTGGTTCAACCAAATGACGGTTTTGGTAAGTTTGAAAGACCATGTACTATCTATCGAAAACTCTGATAACAGAAACACACTAAACTGCTATTAACATTCCCGACAATTGGACATATCCACGGGGCAGTTCCAGCCATTTAAAGTCGCACGGAAATTAGAAAACATCTGGACGCGATAAACGGAATCTCTCCTTCTCTATATCACGCCGCCTTTACACAGAGACGAAGTATTGGAGCTTTATATTTTATTCCTTCTTTCAAATATGAAACTCTAATGAGGGAGCCTGACCTTAGAATATCCAGTGTGTATGGAAAAGTTTCCTACAGCGTGTGTTTAGAAGCCTCGTGCAATCCACTGTAATTCCTGCAGTCTTGAGGTGAAAATTTTTTGGTAGCATAGTGTGAAGCTGTGTTGTTTCAAATTTAATATTATGCTGTGTATTTTGAGAAGAGCAGAAAAGAAGATTGAAGTTTTTTTTTAATGCAGTTGTGTTGCATGTAGTGATATAACATTTTGCAACGTGGGTTTTTTATTCAGTTTTGAGAAACCGAGCACGTGAGATCAAACGACAGCGCTTCCGAATGTAATGTGAAGTGACCGGTTCGAATCAAGACCTGGACACCAACCATATTGCCAGATATTTTTCATGGTTTTCTCAGTCTTTCAGAGAAACGTCGGGATATTGTCTTAAATTATATTGCTCTCGCTTCCTTCCGCGACCTTTTCATTCATTATTCTTTCATTTGACACTATCAAGTCTGATTTATTCAGGAACTTCTTTATATAAACAAACAAACTCCGTGGCCTGTAGTCCGCAAGCGAACTATACCGACCAAGCGACAGCCGCATGTCGGCGAAGTTAATGCCAACTTTTGCGAATATAGAGGGCGTCACGTGGTCAGCGGAACGAATCCCCACGGCCGTTAATCTCGGTTATCTAGACCGGAGCCGCTATTTCCTTGAAACAGCTCCTCAGTTATCATCACGAGGCTAAGTGGACCCCGTTCTAGAGCCAATACTTGTCAGAAAATCTTTTAGCCCCGGGAATCGAACCCGGAAATTCGCTGTACCATCAATAAGTGAACGAACGGTTTCGGAAAATGTTCTAAAGCATAACAATATTTGGATTTTGTTACAAATGATAATTATAAATTGTGTTACCAACGGCACCATGATGCCTATAAACGTAGATTCAATTTGAACCTATGATAAACTGTTTTGGACTACTATGTATGTAGAAAGAAAATCAGGGATATATTTTGAAGAGAGGAATGCTGGGGGAGATGAAACAGAAAGCAATACAGGAGAGGATATACGTATACTGAAAACTGATAAGCTTTGTTTTAAAATTAAGAACAAGAAATCCATTTGACTGGACAAGCATTGATGCTTGTATTCCGGAAGTTTTTATTTCGAATCTCAGCTGGAAAATGTGTTGTCCTCATAAGTTTATAGCGATTTTCTTGAGGTACTACTTCGAGTCTATTAGACAATCACCTCCAATTCTTTCAGATTCTTCATTCATCTATCATTGTACCTTTCGGCGCTATACAGACTAAACACTGAGTCGCAAAATACCCCTCCCCTCCCAGTCGAAGCACTGTTGTTGTTGCCAATGGCAACGTTCAGTGAAGCACCATGTCGCCGTCAGGTTGCTTTGGAACAAGTGTCTCCTCGTGGGTCAAGTCTTTGGTTCTTAAAATCCTCTATGTCTCGGTGACATGACATAACATCCGAGAAATACGGACGGCCCAATTCTGCGTCATTGTTTTCTCCTTCTAGGGGCAGGAATTATGGCGACTGTTGGTAGAGAGTGGGGGGTTAATTTGTCGGGAATCTGGTGTTACGAAAGGTAGAGGAAAGTTAACTGAAGAGTGTTCACATATTTTCACATATAGCTGACACATATTCCATTATATATTTTTCAGATTACGTAATTGGCCGAGATGCTGTGGAAGAACCTCTGCAAGCGGTAGATGCGGAGGCTGTTAGTGAGGGGAATCCCAAAAGCGGTGAGTTTTCTTTCCTTCCTTTATGCACATTTTTAATTTCCTCTATAGGGCTTCTTTGGAACTTTCACCGAAACATCATTTTCTTTTAGAGATACTCAAGTCGTAATGATATAACGTTCGCGAGGTTTGCGGATATGGCGACGGTGACCACGAAGTTTCTGTCTTCTGAAACCGCGTAGTTTTTTAATAAGTCACTAAAGTTTCTAAAGAAAACCTAATACCTCAACCTTTAGGGTTGCCAGAAGCCGGTTTTTATGAAATTTGCTGTCTTCTGAGATGCTATGATGTATAATGTGTTTCGGAAAGAATACCTGAAACCATCTTCAATGTACCTAGATTGTGGTAGCTATGAAGATAATTTTGTTTTGAGATAAGATGCAGTATAGTTCGGTATTTACTAAGGCTTCAAAGGAACTTAATTTCAAATTCGGCAAATATTAAAGACCTTGAAATACCAGTTTGCAAATTGCTCCGTCAACACAATATTTTTATAAGTAAAACAATATTTTTAATTGAATATTTCTCTTTCATAATTGTTATCCGAAAAGTTACTGGCCACATGACAAATGAACAAACAATATCCCGAGCCAGTCGTGACTATGAGTTGCGGGCCTCACATCGGGTTGGCCCGGTTTCAGTCGCAGGATTTCATATGGGATAGAGAAGTAGGGTAAGCTGCAACAGACCCATGGAAATGACGGGATACGGCGCTTCTGGTTACTTCTGTGTCCCAAGTCAGTGATTTCTGCTACAGTTGTCTATGGTCATGTCATCGTCATCACCAGGGGCGGAGAAAAGCGCAATTAAATTCTGCAGTGACAAAAAATTAGGCCTCACCTAATTATTATTATTAACCGTGCATAATGAGGAGCTTCATAACTTGTACTCTTCTCCAAGTACAATTAGAATGAGCAAGTCAAGGAGGATGAGATGGGCACGGCATGCAGTACAAATGGAGGAGACGAGGAATGCGTATAGGATATTGGTGGGAAAGCCAGAAGGAAAGAGACCGCTGGGAAGACCAAGGCGTACGTGGATGAACAATATTAAAATGGATCTTAGAGAGATAGGATGGGATGGTATTGATTGGATTGATCTGGCTCAGGATAGGGATCAGTGGAGGACTCTTGTGAACACGGTAATGAACCTTCGGGTTCCGTAAAATGCTGGGAAATTCTTGAGTAGCTGCAGAATTTGCGGCTCCTCCAGAAGGGCTCAGCTCCATAAGTAAGTAAGTAAGTAAGTATTAGCCGTGAGGAGGCTGTTTAGAATAACTCCATCGCAACTTCTACCGTAGCCTTGCGAGTCGCAGAAGGCGAGGGAAAGAGAGCCCGTTGCCTAGGGGTAAAACTTAGCCAAGTTAGACATAAATACAGGAACCTGCTCTCCCGGTTGTGAGCTGGATTCAAGGATGGCGACTTTGGTACAAGCAGTCTGCTTGTACCGGTTCTCACGGTCTCTTCGCTCGCGAATTTCCTATTTGTCCTTCTACCCTGAATATGGAGGCGATACGTTCCTCCGAAACGTCGGTTAACACCACATCTACACGGTGCCATATCCCAGAAGACTACTTTCTTCGTAGTCACCGCCGTGAAAACCTCAAATCTTACACAGATAATGTCTGATTGTGGGTTAGCCACTTTGGATCTTGATGTCTTATATTGTCTCCATTTTTGTTTGTAAGCCTTGCATTGTTGATTTCATGCCTAGCTTTTCTCATTCCATCGCGCCGTTTCTCCGCGCATGATGTTTGCACGCTACTTCTAAATCTCACTCTCAGACTCAACTGATTTCTCCCTACCTTACGACTACGAGTAAGATTTTGTACAATTTATATTTCTATTCAAGTGCAATGCAGGCTCGCGGGACGGGAATTTTCTTTCTGGAAGCTGAGAGAATTGAGAGTATGTATGGAAATTTCGACGGAGAGATGTGAGAATGCTCTCATGTGACCCACCTCCCTTCCTCCCCCAATCAGTCGGCGTGAGAATAGGTAATTTGTGTCATACATCAGAGTTAAGTGTCTAGCCTCCTTATTTTCAGCACTGGAAATTAATAGTATCACTTGATCATCGTTTTGTAGTACCATTTAAACGGACTGATATGTCCAAGCAAAGATATATTTAAGGGCCGTTAACACAACAATTAATTATAAACCGATATTCAAAATGTTTAATATTCGATTATTTTATTTTCATTCTACTACATGTTCCGATCTATCAAGCTCTTACTCAGGTGGTCTTTATTTATTAATGTCTTTACTGGCTTATTAACATGCATCAAATTTTATATTTATCAGTAATATTATAATCAGAATTTTACTATTGATTTAAAGTTTTTATGTTCGATATGTCTCGAATGATATATGTTAATTGCGGAGTTCGTGGTACTTTAGGTGATTATCTGATGGTTCTCCTGTAGAGTTGCAGTAAGTGTTAAGCATATTGGTGTGTGTATAGAAAACTATCTGTATGTGTTTCTCACTCTTGATGTCGGTTGCCGGGTCGATTTCTTGATGCATTTTGTGCGTGGTTATTTATCCGTTATCACTAGGCTCTAGACCACACAAAAGCATAAAAACATCCACCCCATAACCAATACAAAGATTAAGAAACTAATAAAGAAAACCTTCCTATACACACACCAATATAATTAATACGGACTGCAAATGTACAAGAGGAAAACCACGTATTCACCTACAGTAGCACTAGCTCAACACAGCGATCAGTCACCTCCTTGCACCAAAGGAGTCGAGTGCTTAATAAACATAAAAAAACCACGAAGCCCATTTACACTGCCTAATAACAGATACCTCTAAGACACCGCCCCAATTTCAGGTATTTAAAAAGAGATTTCCATTTTTACCTAATTTTATTTTATTTAACATGTATATATTTGAACGTTTAGCACATTTAACTTCTTAAAAATAAATTGGAATTTAGATTACATTACTACTGATAAATACCTATAAAAAGATCTTTTTAATAGTTCAATAATTTATAAAAACCACCTGACGATGAACTTGATAAATCGAAGCAAGTAGTGGGGTGAAAATAAAATAACTCAAATATTAAATATTTTAATATCGGTTTATAATTAACTGTTGTGTTGACGATCCCTAAGTGTACCTTTGGTAGACGTGTATGATATACACAAAGATGCAGAAAACAAATTTCCATATCCGAAGCGGTTATTTTGAAATCGGTATAAGTCATTAATTTTGGCTATTCGCGGTCATCAAAGCGACATCTACAGAGTGCTTAAGATTATTCGGAGTGAGGTGGTTTTAGTCCTGCGTTCATTTTTGGAAAAGGATGGACTGACTGGCAGATTCTTCTTTGAAAAAAGCAAGCGAGTTCTATAGTGGATCTGTTTGCAATGCTTGCAATTTCATCGTTCACGAAGAAAGACCTGAACACTATCTGAAGTATATTTCTATTAAACGAAATATTATTACTTTTATATCGTAAATTGTGTTAGTTTTATGAATCAAGTTTCTTTTTCTAATAACATGCTTTGATGCGTAATAAAATTGGATGATGATGTGTTAATTTGAGAAGAAATATGAGCTACGGATGAAAATAATTTTTCAAATAGTCGGTTATGAAAAGAAGTTTATTAATACAATTTATTTATTATAAGGATATATATTTTACCGGCTTTTATAAAATCACTGATTTTTATTAATAAAGTGGAAGAAATTGCGATAGCTTTGAGAAGATCACGATTCACGGGTAAGTTTTCAGAATAAACTTGAGAATAAGAGAGTATCATAAGAGATGCAGTAGTTCACCCATAAAATAGTAATTTTAGAAATGGTTAGTTCTTTCTCCCTTATTTAAAGTTGGGCTCCAACGACTAATGATTCTTTCTGTGTTACAGGTGGCCCCAGGGATAGATTTCCGCTGCCTCGAACCCTTGCAAAGAGAGATACAGGCCCTCGACATGCTTATACAAGTAAGAATTCCAGTGTAGAATTAAGATGATATAGGCAAGATAAAGTTGTCTGTGTGCTTAGCTAGTTAACTACGTCATGATTTATTGGCTAGTGGATATATAGATGAAGGTGAGTTTCATGCCTCAGCTGCTTTACCCAGGGAGAAAGGAGCTGGGTCGGCCCCATAATTTTTCGGGACGACGTGGAGAATAGAAATATCTTGTCACTACCGGGTCTCGGACTCCGACCCCTCGACCAGTCCAGTCCAGTGCATGACATCTCACTGTATTTCTCCAAGATCAGTTTCAGCTATTCTGCTCCCACGTGCATCTATGTCTGCCTAGTAGTCTCATTTCTTCTGGCTTTCATACCAACTTCGCCCCCATGCGTGCTAAATGACCTGCTGTTTCATCCTCATTTACTCGGTCATTATAATTATATTTGGTGAAAGGCATAATTTATGAAGCTCATCAATATATAATTTCCTCTAACTTATTATTCCATTCCTCTTCAGTCCAAATATTCTCCCCAGTAACCCGATCTCACATAATTTCAGTCTTCGTGCTTGTCTTAATGACAGAGACAACATTTCACATCTATGCAGCAACACAGACAAAAGTAATTTCTTTATCTTTTATTAATTATGTTTTTACTATTGAAGATGAAATGCTGTGAAATGAGTGGTAGCAAGCAATACTTGTTTTCAATCTGCTATTCGTTGAGGCACTAGGCTACAAGCAGGAAAGTTGAGAGTTCGCGTCCCAGTGAGGTGGATTTTTCAATTTGCCTGATCTTTCGAGCCGCACTATTGCCCTAGGATCGACTCAGTCTATAACAGAAATGAGTNCACCCCCGGGGGGGGGGGGGTTAAAGAGTGGTCGGCATCATTTGCCGCCATCTGTGTGCCGATTGTCTAGAGAAAATGTGCCAGTCTCGACGTCTCACAACACTATGGGACTTCAAGGCCTGTTACAGGGATATCTTTAACTTTGGAGTCGGTATAGCGACTGGCTACGGGCTGGACGACGAGTCTGAGTTCGAGTCCCGGTAGGGTCAAGATTTTTCTGTTCTCCACGCGTCCAGACCGTCTCTGGGATCCATCCAACCTTCTTTTCAACGGCTACAGGGGGCTCTTTACCCAGAGGTAAAGCAGCCGGGGCGTCAAGCTAATCACTCACCTCAAATTAGTGCCGAGGTCAAGAAAGTGTGGATCTATACATCTTCTCCCCTATACGTCTTCATGGCGTAGTGCTTAATTAGTTAAGCACAGGGACAACTTTACCTTTTACTATTATCAGATTTTGATGTGTTAATGCCGTTACCAAACTTGAGAACTTTGTAATGTTTTGAAATAATCCCTTATGCGTTATTATATGATTACTTTGCCTTGCATTCTAGTGATTAGGTGTACTTGCTTCTAGACTTTCCCCGTTACCACTTTCTGTGTTCGTCTTTATTGTATTTATGTTATCTCCCAGTAGATTTACATCATCAACACATACTAGTAACTAATGTGTCCCAGTTAATTTCAGTCCCACTTGGTTTTCTTGGACCTTCCCGATGGTGGCACAATGGCGGTAATGCAACATCTTGTTTTAGACCATTCTGAATAACAAACGTATCAGACAAATGTTTACCTATACGCACGTCACAATAGGTTTCAGTTACACATTGTAAGAGCCTATCTAGTTTTATAGGCGCCCCAGACTAAGTGAGAATATTGTACAATACTCCCCTCCGAACTGTGTCATTGCTTTTCTTGAAGTCTAAGAGTAGCTGATGTACTGTCTCACTGTACTCTCATTTTTTCTCCATTCTCTGATGGATGCAGAAAAAATACCAATGGTTAATCTGTTATATTGAAACCCACGCCGATGAACACAAATAATTCCTTCTTTGTATGGACTTAACATTCAGAGGAGGATGTTGGGTAGTGTATGAAGTTGGTAACAATGATATGCCTCGATAATTACAGTCAGTTGTACCGCCCTCCTTATAAATTCGTATACAAATTGCACCTCTTGCTTGAAGCAGTTCTGTCAGAATTCGATCAACACCAGCTGATCTATATGTTTCCAACTTTGCAATAGAAACTGCAGGCACAACAAATTAGGCTCAGGTTCTAACGGACCAGTTGTATGAGCCATTAGAACCATGTGCTTAATATCACTAACTCTGTGTACCTGCAGTGACTGAGGAAGTAATTCGTGCACCTATTGTGGGAATCTGGAAGCAGATCACCATTCTCATCCTTAACCAAGTTACTTCTAGTTATTATAGGATTCTGACGATCGTGTATAACACTTAGAGATACTGGGTTTTCGAACTTTATCCATCGTCCTGGTTTTAAGATAACTAAGAAAAACACGACGTTTCGGAAACTGGATCTGTTTCCGAAACGTCGTGTTTTTTCTTAGTTATCCTAAAACCAGGACGATGGATAAAGTCCGAAAACTCAATATCTCCAAGTTACTTCTAGGTTGGAAAATCTTAAATTAATTTATTCTATAAATACAAACCACTCCGTCCAAAGCGACATATAAGTTTTTACTACGTGAAAACTTATCTCCCTTACATGTTTCGGTCCTTACGGACCATCTTCAGAGGGAAAATCATTACAAATTGGAAACTACCATCACAATAGGTGAAAACAACACAGCAAGCCACGAACAGACCCTGGACGACATCAAGAACCTCCTCATCAACACAGACAGGCGGCACAAAATCTTCCCCATACAAGAAGGACGATAGGAGTACGGACACAAACCTACGTGGTTTAAAAAAAATTTAACTATTGACAATAAAAGTTTTTTAAATAGCATCTAGAAACTTTTGAAAACTTTACAATACCAGGAAGCTGCTGAGATTGTGAAATGTTCGACTTTATGCGTACTGTGCATTATAGGATATAAGTGTATGTATTTTAAATCAAAACACCTATTGCGATGGTAGTTTCCAGTTTGTAATGATGTTCCCTCTGAAAATGATCCGTAAGGACCGAAACATGTAAGGGAGATAAGTTTTCACGTAGTAAAAACTTATATGTCACATTGGACGGAGTGGTTTGTATTTATAATTGTTAGTGTGACGGACCAGAATGAAACAAATCTAGTTTATTCTACTATATAAGTCTATAGCGTTGTTGTTGCTGTTGTTTCTTGTAAGGTCAATTAATAGATATTCATGTTTTTCTTTAAAGGCTTCAGCTCAGAAGCATCAGATGACACCACTGTGCTGAGTAAGAGAGGCCCAGGCTCGATACTTACATGGGCGCTTTCCTCCAAGAGACCTCTGGTGCAGTCGGATTTGAGGCAATTAAATTTTTTGTAAGATTATCGTACCTGAATTATGTAGTGGAATTATGAGGCCCAAAAATAGATCACGTAACGGTCAATTAGAATATGTCAGGGCTATTTCCCAAAATTGTAAGAACTGAAACAACACTAGTCAACATGATTTCTTTTAATAAAAGAAAACTAAATGTTATCAGTCAGTCTTAATATTTTGATTTCAAATTTGGGCACAAGAATTTCCCATTGTGTCACAGTTTTTTGTATTGAATTCTGAGTTCAAACAGATGGGGTTTCACTTTCATTTGTGTTGCTTCATGTTTTTATTATTATTTTTATAAAAATAATTTCATAACATGTTTAATTACTTAATAGTAGGTTATTCTCACTTCAAAGAAGACATTATTTCAAGTTACGTAATAAAAGTTTTATGAACAATCACATATCTTGCGTGCTAAACAACAGAGTAAGAAGGAACTGTGAGTGTGTAGCATTCGGAGTGTTTTTTTCCTGATCAGCGGTATCCTACTTAGTCGAAAAACATATACTTTGTACCGTATAATTTTTACATATTGATCTTTCATAAAGGACCGCCTCTGTGGTCTAGTGGTCAGAGTTCCTGGCTACAGATCCAGAGGTCCCGGGTTCGATTCCTGGCGTTACCAGATTTTATGAGAAGTAGATATTCTGAAACGGGGTCCACTCAGCCTCGTGAGGATAATTGAGGAGCTATTTCAAGGAAACAGTGGCTCCGGTCTAGAAAATCGAAATTAACGGCCGTGGGGATTCGTTGCGCTGACCACCCGACACCCCCTATCCGCTGAAGTTGTCACTAATTTCGCCGACAAGCGCCGGTCTCTCGGTCGGTATAGTTTGCTTGTGGACTCATGCCACGCAGTTTGACCTTTTATAAATGGGAGATATAATTTTCACCCTTCAAGAAGAAACCATATATTTCAACGGTTTTTGTGAAAATGTTTTAATTTTACCTAGAAGAATGTCAGCTGCTTATACATATTGCCCAGTGTTTTTAGGATATAACATATATGAATCTGTTAGGGATAAGGTGGGAGTGAGGCTGGGATGAGGTGAACAACAAATCTATACAGAATTTTGAAGGGGATACCTCTTAGGAAAATCGCTTTGAAGACCCTATTGAGTACTGAGTATTGAGTATTGAGTATTGAGTATTGAGTATAGAGGGGCTGGGTTTTCCCCATGCACTTAGACCAGTTATTGGTCCAGTGTGCGTCCACCTTTTAATTTCTACTGTCTCCATACCCTCCATACCCCCTTTCTGCCAGCGAGGTTCCAACCTTCTACTGGCAGTGGTATCTAATAGTTAGTCCCTTTCTGTCAGAGAGGTCCCCCCTCCTCTGGCAGTGGTACCTAATACTTCCCCATCTACCGGAGGCACTGGAAACTACTTTGGGCCGGAAACTTGTTCCCTGAATTTTTCCGTCCTTAAAAATTCCACAACCTCCGCCGGGTTTGAACCCGCGTACCTTGAGTCATGAGGTGGGAACGTTACCCCTAGACTACGGAGGCCGCTTTGAAGACCCTAAATGTATGTGAGGATTTCATTAAGATGGAAGTAGATTGCGGGGATGGATGATGGAGTAAACTGGTGCCTGAGAACTGTCCCGAAGTACGAAAATTAGTATTTTTGCAGCTGACCCACCAAGGTCTACAACCGGAAGGTTAGGTGTTTAGTTACGCAGAAATTAAGAGTTAGTTTTCATTTTGGTCACATGGAAATGGAACATGAATATACGTGTAGCCTGTATAGGAATACACTGTAATATTAGAGCCACTATTGACGAAACTGGGACTCTGAAAATCAATAGAATAATTGTACCGGGAAAATATTTTGCATTTACATTGACGCTTATAGTCGTCCATAACTATAAACAAGTTCTCAGCTGTCATATCTAGACTTCATGAACAAACGTGCTACAGCACAGAACTTCCACAATTATTAATTCTAGTAAGAAATGTAAGCACACAGTCGTAATGATATCCACATGTGTTTGCTCAGGCCGCGCCATAACACATTAGGCTGTGATGCACAGACCTCTCGTGGCGGAGGACCGGTTTCAATTCCTGGTAACTTTATGTAAGATTCGTGCTTGAATAAGTGACATTAGAGCAGGTCTTTCTCTGTATTTCCTTTGTTTCCCTCCTGTTTGCCATTTTTCAACATCATCTACCATCTCCGCCTGAATAGTGCTATAGTCGTGATCAGGCAGCTGATAAACACATTTTCAGTAACAGAATTTGGGGCTTCATTCCTGATCAGGCACTTCGCTCATACCAAAGTACGTATATCCTGTTTATTAAGACAAGCCTCCTTCCTATTGGGTACCGACAGCTCTTTCTCCAGAGGCAAAGCGGCCCGGACGTGAAGCTGACGACCTTTCTCCATCTGGTGCCTAGGTCAAGTCGAGTCGACTACGAATTATCAAATGAACTCTTCTTTATAACCACTTTGCACGGATCAGGCAGAAAACACAGCCTCTCTACTGTTGGGAAGGCTTGTTTAAAATGCCGTTGCATAGCAACGGAAGTTACTGAATTGTTGCTTGCGTATTCGTTGCCACGGGAATGTATTTACTGAGCCTTTGCCTAGCAATGAACACGTATTCTGAGTTCACTGTTCCGGCTTTCGGGCGTCATGTCACAATATGAATTAGATGAATTAA